TATATTTTAATTAAAACATTTTTTTTATTTTAAAAAAAGGCATTCTAATTTAGTGGCTCCCTTATCTTCTCTTTCCTTTCGGAGGATATTGATAAGTGTTTTATAGTTTTCTTCTGCTCTGAGCACTGCCTTTATTTCTCCAAGTTCCTTTCTTCATTTGCTTTTCTGTATTTTTGTCTTTCATGTTAGAGATGTTCTTTGAATGCCTAGTGATCCTTGGATGTCTATGTCTATTTCACTGTGTGTCAAAAAAAAGCTCGTGCATGGCAGGAACCTTTCCTGTGGGGTGATCTGGTAGGGACCCAGGTGCTATGTTTGGGAACCCCCAAACATGAGTGTCTGTAGGTATCTTCTCCTGGGTCTGTTTCCTCAGAGGGAAATATTCTAGTCTCCTGCTGGGGTGTGGGGCCGGGTGGGTTCTAAGCTTGACAGCTAAGAACTCTGAGGCAGTCTGAGTCTCGCAGGCATGTGTTCTGTCAGGCTCTTCATCCCATTTTCAGCTTCGACTAGTGCCCCCACTTCCAGTGCTTCTCTGACTCACCCTCTCCTCATAGTACCTCCCGTCTTCTGTGGGCGGGGGGAGGAGAGGTAACCTGCCCACACGAGCTGGACAATGGATCTAACCTCTACTAATGACAGACTTTCAAACACTGCTGTTTTCCCAGCCATACTCCTGCCATCTGTCTGGTGTCTCGAATTCCCAAGCCTTTCTTAGGGTCCATAGCACAAATCCTTACGGCCACTCAGCAGAGGAAACAGAAACCTATCAGTTATTTGTCAGGATGGATCAGGCTCTGCTATGGTAACAAACCACCAAACCCCCCACGTTGATTCCTCTCTCACACTGCACGTCCACAGGGTCAGCAGGGAGGCCGGCTCATCAGGGTCACTCGGGACCCAGGCTGATGGAGGCTCTGAGTCTTGTGACCTGAGGCTTCAGGGGAGAACTCTGCTCACTGCTCCTATTTCAAGGGCCAGGCCTAACGCTAGGGAACGAGGAAGGACAATACAGTCCTCCCTGTGCTCAGCAGAAGAGGACAACTGGAAATATTGGGGAGCACTAGTGTCCCCAAATTTTATTGTTCTCAGCTGCTCCTGTTTCCTCTGTCTCGTGGTGCTTGCGGTTTTACATGTTTTTATTATTTTACTATCATTTTAGTGCAGCTTTAAGAGGGAGCAGAGTTGAACACCATTTCAAGCTGCAGAACACACCAAAGTAGCCAACACCATCCAATTAATACTGTGTACTGCTACCCTCCATCTCTCTGATCCCACCAGGACTCTGTTCTCCACTTTGTTGCCTAAAAAGAGGTTGCTAGGCGGTGGAACTTTTCAGAACTGGGCATTCATTAGCGATATTTTTTCAAGAAGGGGGCTGGGAGGCAGTTTTCAAACACGTATCTGGAAAAGAGACAGTCTTTACTAGAAGCAAAGGATTAATAAGTATTTTTTAAATTTTCAGAAAACAATTATTTTCCCTCCATGCTGAGCATCTCCTATGTGTTCAATAAGTTCTCGCTAATGAGCAATCCTATCTTTGCATCTGTACAGGTCATCAGCAAGCAAATGCCAGCTTGTGCCAAGTGAAGAGGAAAATGCTCAAGTTCCGAGGGAATTAAAAGTCATGTTAGAAGCAGACTGAGCTATCAGCAGTTATCTCTGGCAAGTGGTAACACAGGCGTTTTTCATGTGCTTCACTATAGTTTCTGGTCATGCCAATTTGAGAATGCACTGCTTTTGGAATAAGAATTGTGGGGCCACTTCCCCAGGTCTGCTGACCATAACCACAGCAGGGCAGCCCTTTTTTAAAAAAACCGTACCTGTGCTAATAAAAGTTACTAGTTAAGTCTCAAACCCGCCGCTATTATATGGGGAAACTGTCCAGAGAATACTTTTCTTTAAATTTAAATAAATGATTCTTAATCGTTTATATGCTTAAGAATCGCAGGGAGAATTTACAAAACAATATAACACAAAGTCAGAAAACAAACAAACAAAAAAAAACCCCAAATCCCAGCTCACTGGGCTCCACTTAGGACTGGTTTGGAAGGGAAAGGCAGTAATTTGTATTTTTAACAAGTACCTCCTGGACAGACTTCAGACCACACTGCTTTTAATAGTGCTTCCCATTTTCTACCTGGAATGAGTATGCAGTAAATATTTTTTGATGCTGAGGTGTCAATCAACAGAATGTGTGTATTTATATACTCCCCCCCCCAATAATACCATCAAAGAAATAGCAAATGAAGGTCTTTCCCATAAAAACACATGACAGATGAAGCACAATACACAAATTTAAATGGCTTACAACTGGCTGGTGGGATATTTTAAGGCACAGGTTTTGGGGTTTGCTTGGTATTAACTATTCATAAGCCTTACTTACCTATTTCTTAGCATCAAGCCTAATTTCTGACAGTGTGGGTTTCTAAAGCATCGACTGATATTCTATAATTAATTCTACCTTTGGAATGAAGGAGAGGATTAAGTGGTTATCTATAATAATAAAAGTATGATATGCTAAAGGACAACCTTCCAGATGACCTTCTGGACGAAGCTACTATGTTGGGGGCCGAGGCAGAAGCAGTCACAGTGGTGGGCAGGGGCCTAGCCCTTGCACGATTTTCGTGCATCAAGCCTCTAGTCTTAGTATAAATGAACAGACGGAAGATGCCCCCCACCCCGGCCCTGCCCTAGTGCAGGCTGCGCTGGGGATCATCATGAGGCTGCAGGGACAACATGGTTTTGCTGGTCATTTTCAGGAGCTGGTACATGTGGGAAAGCTGAAGGAGGAGGCCAGCATCTGGACTTAACGCTCCTGCAGCTCTTCCCAAGTTTCTAAAAGAATGTAGAACCCAGCTTCTTGCCAGCTCCCCACTTTTGAAAACCTGCTCCATTTCCACTTCATTTGCAAAATGCTTGCTGCAGTCCCTCCCTCCTAGCCAAGAGGAACCTGGAAATGCTGGAGGTCAAGGGGAAGTCTACAGGTGAGCACACCTGTTTTGAACCTTTTGGATGTAAAGTCTGGAAAACAGAAGAGATACAGGACATCATGGAACTAACTGACCCAATGCTGCCCCCTTGCTGTGGGGGAGCATGAAAATATTTTCCTACAGGTTTCCAGCCTTCCCTTAAAGGTGCAGGAGATTTAATCAGCCAACAGCAAATGTTGACTGTTACTAAAAGAGGTGGCGAGCCATACCTCTCTGACCTGCACAGCTCTTTCCGTATAAGTAAAATGAACAGCTTCTAATAATGGTTTCTCACTCCAAAAGGTATACTAAGAAATAGCCTAGTGCACTCATAAAATAAAGAATTAAATGAAATTGAATTTAACCTCCTGACCCTTCTTTTACTCCAAGCTCCCATTTTAAATGAAATTGCTTAAAACATTTTCAGGAGAATGGAAAGTGAGAGCCGGAGCAGAAAGAGGATCTTTATAGCTAGGTAGTGGGGCAAAGGTTCGTCTTCTTGGTCTATTTTGAATAGACTGTGACACCCAAGCTTGCCATGTTATCAAATTTCTTAGGTATTTCAAAAATGAAAAGTAAAATGTCAACATGGACAACAATAGCTTTTGGTAGCTCTTCACAAAGAAGCACAATTCAGTTTAAAACCAAAAACATGTCTTTTGTGACGTGAGAAGGACACCCTGGTACCTTAAATTAAGCACTTGCTGAAAGCCACAGTGAGGAACAGGTGGGTGAAAAACTACAGAAACTCTGGCAGGATAAGGGCTCCACAATCTTTCCTCGGAGGAGGCCACACTAACTGTCCCCAACCTGTCAGAGGTTGTTTTACATCAGTGGTTCCCAAATTGTGGTTCTGGGACCAGCAGATCAGCATCACCTGGGAACTTGTTAGTGACATTGTCGAACTTCACCTGAGCCCCGTGAACGGCAAAAGTTAAGAGTCCCCCACCAAAGTGTTTCCGAAACAGCTTACTACAAAGAACCCCCATATGACTTAGATAAGACTCCCTGTTCACTGGTACCTATGACAAAGCCAGACACAGACTTCCAAATTCCCATTTTTTACCTGACAGAGGATCAGCTGAACTTTGGATTAATCAGAACAAAATGCTTGTAAACCAGTGATGGCGAACCTATGACACGAGTGTCAGAGGTGACACGTGAATTCATTTTTTTGGTTGATTTTCTCTGTTAAATGGCATTTAAATATATAAAATAAATATCAAAAATATAAGTATTTGTTTTACTATGGTTGCAAATATCAAAAAATTTCTATATGTGACACGGCACCAGAGTTAAGTTAGGGTTTTTCAAAATGCTGACACACCGAGCTCAAAAGGTTCGCCATCACTGTTGTAAACCAATCTTTGGTTAAGCTCCTCTCCTTTCTCCAGGTCTTTGAACGCTGGCTAGTCAACAACCCCTCCTCAACAACCTCTCAGGACAATAGGCTGGTCTCAGGTTAAAACATTTTCTCATCTGCCATGCTTTCTGCACACTTCCTCATACCCATCCTTTCCTGCCTTGTTTACTCTTCCCTATAAAAGAAACTCCTTTCTGCCAAACCCTAGGGGACTCCTGCAGATCTCAGTCAGAGATTACCCTATTGCTAGTCCTCCCTCCCACGTCCCCGATTACAATAGCACCTTTCTCCCCTTTGCAATACTCCTTTCCAATAAAGGCTTTCCTCATTCAAGCAGGACTACAAATTCTCAAGCCCCACCCCAAACCTTCTAAATGGGAAAGAAGGGCGGGAGGGCGTGGGTGGGAAGGGGGGGGGCCCTAGAAATTCATTTCTGAACAAGTGTTCTAGGAGCAGCCTGAGAACCACTGCTCTATGGTCTGATAAGCTCATTTAACACTTTAACTCCCAACCACCTGTGTTTCACTCGCGCTTACGTGCAAGCTATTTTTGAGGCTTAGGGTGGACACATGGTTAGCATTCCCACAGACCATCTATCTCCTGGTCACTTCCCAATGACAAACAAGGCCACACTGCACTCGTCTCCTCTCCTGGCCGCGCGTACTTACGTCTCCATCTCCGGGCCTCTGGTCATCGCAATCTCTGGTGGGGCTGATGTCCTGGCGCATGACCCAGATGGGCTCTTTGGGCTCGTCGGGGGTGTAAGGCGAACGGATGGTCCTGGTTTTCACCTCCTCGATGGCCTCCTTAATATCCTTGATGGCCAGCGAGATGGCATCCCTCTTCTCCTTGCTGTACCGCTGCACCGCCTCGCCCACCACGGTGCCCGCCGCCCGCTGCTGCCCAGCAGGGGCCGGCGGCCCGGGGCTATCGGGGTGGCCTCCGCCGGGGGTGGGGGCGCGCTCCAGGTCCTGCTCGGCCTCCGGCATGTCCTCGGCCGCCTTGTCGAGGCTCTGCGAGCTCATGCTCTGCTTGACCTCGGCCACGATCTGGTCGATGTCCTCCTCCTGCTCGTAGCTGTCCATCCGCGGGTAGGGAGCGAACTCGGCCTCCTTTTCGGGGCTGTCGGACTCGCCGTCCGAGCGCTCGTCGTAGTGGTGCAGCCGCGCGCCCAGGGCCTCCTGGCGGTACGCGGCCTCCTCGTCGCGCTCCTGCTCGTACAGCCGCAGCCCGTCGCGCGCGTCCAGCTCGGGCGCGTCCCCGATCTCCTCGTACACGTGCTCCTGGAGGCCGCCGTAGTCGGCGTAGGGCTCGGCGTAGGGCTCGTCCTCGCCGCGGTGGAACAGCCGGTGCGTGTACACGTAGCCCGAGTAGGCCGCGGTCATGGCCTCCTCCTGCTCCAGCGAGTGGAAGTGCAGGTGGTTGGGCAGCGCGAGGCGGTGCGTGGCCTCGGCGTGCTCGGCCTCCGCCTGCTCCGTGTACTCCTCGGCCTCGGGCCGGTACTGCACGGCGTACGCGCTCTCGTCCTCGGGGTCCTGCGTGCGCTCCGGGTCGTCGCCGTCGCGCGCCGCTGCGATCACGTCGCCCTCGGCCGTGTCCGTGTGGTTGTGGAAGCCGCTCTCCGTGCTGGCCGAGCGCGCCAGGCACTCCCCGCGCTCCTCTTCCTCCGGCGGCGCGGGCTGGGCGCGGGGGTCCTCGACGGCGAGCGCGCGCGGGGGCCGGCCCGCATGGTGCTGCTGCTGCTGCTGCTCCTCCTCCACCTCGGGGCGCTCCAGGTCGGCCTCCACCGACTCGTTCACCTCCCCGCCTGCCGCCTCGTCGGTCACCTCCACCTCCGCGGCCCCCTCCAAGGGGTTCATGGTGGGCGTCGGGGACGGCTGCGAGAGAGGCTGGGCCGGCTCACTGCGCGCTCATTTTGCTTCGCCCGCCTGGAGAGACAAGAGGGGAAGGAGGGGGCGTTAATGGTTCAGGCTGTAGTCCTGAACGGAGCACCAAGATGGCCAGAAAAGCAGCTGCTATCGATCCCTTCTGAATCTGGGCCAATTTAAAAAATGATTGCAAATGTACGCTCAGTGTGACAGCACCTAGTTCATTTTCTTGGTTTCCCGTAATTTCTAATTACACATGTACTTGTTTCATTGCTGACTGGCTTTCTCCCTCCCCCACCCCTGCGACAGAGGGCCTCCTGCGCCTTTGTTCTCCACGGTGCTTACTATTCAGGTTCCATTTCTGATGCAGGTGAATAAGGAGTGCTACTAAATGGAATGGGCTGATTGACACATTTTCTCTGCTAGGGCAGTGGTTCTCAACCTTGGCTGCACATTAGAATCACCTGGGAATCTTTTTAAAATCCTGATTTCTGGGCCTCATCCTCCGGAAATTCTGTTTCTTTGTTATGGGGTGGGGCCACAACATTAGTAACAAAGAAACAGAATTTCCGGAGGTGGAGGCCCAGAAATCAGGATTTTAAAAAGATTCCCAGGTGATTCTAATGTGCCGCCAAGGTTGAGAACCTGCTCCCTCGGGAAAAGCTTTCATCCCCCCCCCTCATAAAGGACCCTCTTCTTCCCCCCCCTAGAAGCATTCAAAAAAACTACGCGTGGAAAAGGCGGCGACTCCTTTTTTCTCTG